TTGTTGTTGTTGTCACCGATAACTATAAATGAAGTTCAAATAAAAGAAACACAAAACTAACTAATCAAACATCTTAGCCAATATATTAATATAACACAATCTTTTTTATTTAGTCAATATTCTAGTTTAGGTATGATTTTAAGTTCTAACAGATGAAAATTAGTTTTTAGGTATTTTTGGAGAATTTTCCCAGATACAATATACCTGAGGATGAGCAGAAAGCCAATGAATGATCGAAGAGCTTCATCACCACAAACGTAGTCATCGAGAGGAGCATGTCTCCGGAAACACAAGAGGGTCCACCAACGAACACCAGATCACCAAACACCAACGAACAAAAACATAGAAGAAAGAGAGAGACATGGTCTTGGACGAGGGAGGAGCAAATAATCAGAAGAGTAAAAATGGTTCTCTTTATGCCCAACGTTTGTATAATATACGGAGATGTGATTTAAAAAAAAAAATGTTACCGTTGTTGTTCAAAAAAAAAAGAAATGTTACCGTTTGTAATTTAAACTTGTGTTTTCTTTAATTACTGCCTCTGTTCTTCTCGAAAGTTGTGATTTTTGATTTTTATTATTAAAACTTGGTTGACTTGTCCTGCTACAAACCTGAGGATGATTAAAAAAAATAGAGATGTAAAAAAAAATGTTACCGTTGTTGTTCAAAAAAGAAAGAAATGTTACCGTTTTGTAATTTAAACTTGTGTTTTCTTTAATTACTGCCTCTGTTATTCTCGAAAGTTGTGATTTTTGAATTTTTATTATTAAAACTTGGTTGACTTGTCCTGCTACAAACCTGAGGATAATTAAATGCACCAAAAATATCACTCTTAAGTGACATACCTATTCTTCCTCGCTCCCAAGCAACTCTCTGAAACAAATCCACAGGAGATTGATTTAAGTATTTTTTATGCAGATAACATTTTCACATGCATATCTATCTACTTCACTATTATCGGTTCTTAACTGAGAATATTTTGGTATAGGCTTCGATTCCGGTTAGGAAACGGATGTAAGTCGGCTTCATAGATCAGTTGTGGCTATTCCAGGCGGCAACAAATAACGCAGAGAAACATATTGCATGTTTTATATCTTCACTTACTGCTAAATTATATACCTTACTAAGTGAGATCCGCGCAAGAATATTATGCAGTAAATGATAATAAATCTAATATCTAATTTTTTTTTTTGGATTTTGGTATTTATAAAAATTAGCTACCTTGTTAATAACAAATCTGTTCTCTTTGATTCTATTTACAGATCATCAATTTTCAGTTTATTCGGTGCTTTAGAAAAAAAATCATAATTATATTAACTTTTGTATAACAAACTTTAGTTTATATGATTAGAAATCTGATTTATTATAACATAAATACATATTTCTGTACTCTAACTTTTAAATAAAACATTTTCTGCTTTATTTAAATATTAAAAGAAAAATAAGTATGATAATATTATTAATAATTATATTTTAGCACAAATATTTACCAAAATAAATATATATATTATTCTTATTTAATTTGATGAAAATAAGAAAAACAAAATATTTTTTTCTAACTTAGAAAAATAACAAATTACTAAAACTAATGTTTTAAATATGAATATCATATTAGTTAATAAATTAGGTATATTATTAATTATTATAAATTTTAAATATATGTTTACTAATATATTTTAATTAATCATATTTTCAGTTTATATAAGTTTAATCAGTTTATATATTGAACCATATTCATATACTGCAGATTTTGTTCAGTATTACTAAATCCAAACTATTTTTTTTTGGTTTGATTTGTTTTTACTTGATTAAACACTCTTAATTTTAGAATGAAAATTGAAAAATAAATTGCATGTTAGTGATAATAGGTTTATGGCGTCAAGATAAAACATTAATTCTAAATATTTTAACTTTTTTCATAGCAGATAGCCGATATAATATTGAGTAATTTGTTTTTAAGACAAACAAATATACAATAGATATATGATTTCAATCACTCATGGTTTTCTAAAACTTATTATATTGGAATTAGTGCATGGTAATCTAGCAAGTATATAAGTTAGGCCAAAATAAATTTTAGTATCTGATTAACAATCAATTGGCATATTTTTTGGGTATCATACAAAGTTATTCAAGTATGATATATTTTATATAGAACGTAATATATAAAATTTTAATAAGTAATTATCTTAAATAGAAACCCTTTCACAAATATCTTAGATATAAAAGGGAGATCTTTTTTTTTTTAATTTTAAGTAAAAATGGGTTAATAATATATAGGATAGGTATATTTAATAATTGTGTATGGTATTCTATGATTACTTTAATAACCATTCTAAAATATTACTTTTATAAAAACATAAATATCTGTAATATTACTACATATTATTTCATATAAATTGTATATTTTGTATATATGTTAACCTAGTTAATTTGTGAATATATTTTGGTTTATTTGACTTTTTCATATATACAATATAATATACTAAAACTTATAATATATTCAAATGATATATTTTTGTTACCATGTCATGTGCGTGCATAGATTTTCAACTATATACTATAATACTTTCAATTATATAATACACTATTTATATTCAATAAATTTAGTAAAAAAAACTTAAGATATAAGGTACCTGATTAATAATTATGTATGTGTTTGTAAGTACGCACGCATTTTTGCATATATTAATAATGCGTTTGGTCTGGCCACAACACTAATACATGTAATAATTATATTAGTGGCAATCATTGTAATATATCTAGTAACTAAAGGGTTAGTTAATAATTGCTGTGAAAATGCATGAGTTATTGACATCTAAACATAATAGCATGGTTGTAAATAATACACTAGACTTTGACCCGCGCGCCTGCGCGGATATATTATTTTTTTGTAAAACTACAAATTTAATTAAGATTTATATCTATACATAATTTATATATTATTTTTGGATAAAAATTTTATAACCGAAATTTCAAATGAAATTGTATTTTACCATATATTTAGATGATGTTACTATTTTTAAATATTTGGAATATATTAAGTAATCTATTTAATATGATATTTTTTAAAAATATTATTTATTATGTAACACAAAAAAAAAATCAATACAAAAGTAAATAACCAACAAAAGTAGATGCTATTTTTAAGGGATAAATAAAATAAGTTTATATTGTTATACATGATATTCATATTTGTTAGGATTGTAGATAAATGATCCTAGTTAGTAGACTACTTATAGGTAGATAAAAAAAGTGACTATATTTTAATAGAATAGATTAATTAAGGTTACTGTCTAGAAAGGCTTCACTTTTAATAAGAAAGGATATATGTATACTGATAGACTGTGCACCACAACATTTTTAACATCTTGCATCTGCAACTCTGCCTATTGGGAAAAAGAAAACAGAAACAACTAGATAAGTCAAATAACGAGAAGGAAAATAAAAGACAAGTTAAAAACAGATATAACATTGGCATCACTTCTAATGACTTTGTTAGTGAACAACACTCCGTTTTGTTGCACCATATGCAGCAAACCTGTGTCAACATAAGTCAAGATATGAAGATCCGCTAAAGCACATTCCCAAAAAAACTTCAATGGATATAAGAAACCTGGGTGGTGGTATCCCATCTGAGCCAGCTCCATCGATATTGAAGATATGACCACCTCGAGACTGAGTCAACATCATATTCATGAACACATGTTAGTCAATCTAAAACCTATAATGGCCTAATACATGCTGAATTAATCTATATACTACCTCTCGGCAACATAAGATCAGCCCAAGAGTGTTGGTTCTCACAACTTCACTACAAAAAAAGGAGATTAAAGAGTTAATAAACAGAGAATAACAGAGAAAAAAAGAAAGGGATAAAAAATTTCTAACAAAGACTTACATAAGATCCTCATCCGAGGCCTCTGACAAAGGTTTAGAGCTGTATGCATTAGATCCAGCATTAATAATCTGTATCATCATCATTTTCTCAAGAAATTATCAAGATAGTGCACACACAACATGGTTGGAAGTATAAACCGAGAAAGATGTATGTTAAACAAATGTCAATGTATTTAAGATTCTTCTGACAATAAACTACAAGCTCCCCTTCCCTTCCCTAACACTTAGTTCCCTGGGCCAATGATTTGAGCATCAACATTTCATGATACATCATCACTAGCCAAAAACATGTAATGAAATTCTGTAAATATTGATTCACAATTTGTTTATAACATTTGACGTCTAAAACTCTTGTTTCATAGGTTTTAACCCAAGGCCTACATTGCTATCAAACACAGATTTGCAATATCAAACAAACATAACTTCTTGATATGCCTGTTTTTAATTCTGATAGCCATAAAGAGTATTTGTGCTGGTTTCGCTTTATGTTTAAGATGTTTAGGACACATGAAGTTGGACTTGAAATGATTTTAAAAATATATATAAAAATTGGTCAAGTCACTTATCATCAACTCTGCTAGATTAGAATCATATCTAACTAATTAAAAGATTTCTAACTTCCCTCAAAATACTATATTAGAGTCTTTGATAGAAATCCTCACTCAGTACGGAACACACCGGTTTGGCTTTACCTTGGGCTCAGATAGTCTGATTATTTTAGTGATGTTAAACATTTAAGTTAAGATATATCAAAAGGAAGCAAATATGATAATCACTTGGATTAACATATAAAGGAAAAGTTTCTTGTTTTTTTTTTGTCCAAATAAGCACAAACATGTTTGTGAATATATATCCCTTGGACTCATAATCATTATACATCGTAATACTTCTCTGTTTGTCTTTACAAAAATTCCAAAAACATTTAAATCACCACAAACAAGAACAACAACGACAAGCGTGAAAAAAGCTGGGCTTCACACTTGTTTCATAGTAATGTCATTTTCTTGAAATTTTTGAAAAAAAAAATCATAAACCAAAAGGTTGGAGGAGACTTGTGAAATTCAGAAGGATTGGGTGTTTGATAAGAGCAGACTCTTAACCTGTAGTCTTCTTGTTCTTCCATGGAACCACTTGCTTTAGTCCTGCATACACATTGGTCTGATCCAAACAATGTTAATTATTAACATATTCTACACTTTATGATATAATGTATATACATGCACACAGCTCTCATGCATGTCTTTTCAAGAATCTTTACTAAAAAATCTAATAACACTAATTTTATAAGATCTAGTTCACTTCATCCTACAGAGTTTTCAAACATTTCTGCCACTTTTCAAGATGAAAGAACATAAAACAGAGGACTCACCCAGAAGTGAGACTTTGAAGAAGAAGAGGGTGGTGTAGGCAAAGTAGAGAAGCTCCCTGTTCTGCTAATGTTTGAGATATTCACTTCACCAAACCTGCTGCTTTGGCTGCAAGTAATACCATCACCATCACCATAGCCAATGCTTTTGTCTTCTCCTTCTTCCTCCTTTTTTCTTCCACATTCACTCTCTCTTTCCACTGAAGATGGAAACACATAACTACCTCTACCAAACTCTGTTTTTCTTTTTAAAGCTCTTCTCCTACTAAACCCAAAAAACCCTAACCCCCTTCTCTTCTTCACAAGAGCCAAAGAGCCACCACCACTACTCATGTTCTCCTGCTTGGTCTCCTCATCAACATCATCTAAATCACCATACATGTCACTCCTGAAAGAGCCATAACAATCACCACTACCTTTTACCATCATCCTAAAGGAAGGTGAATCCAACCTTCTTGATCTTGTCATGCTGTAAGGTCCATCAAAGACAGTGATGGGCGAGTTCAGTTTGGTAAGTAACCTTCCATCGTTTTCAAGCGAGTGTAGCCTTGGTGGTAGCTCCAAGGACTTGTGGGTTTTAGGAGAAGATGAAGAATAAGAAGTTAATGGTGAGGAAGAGGATGATGAAGAAGAAGAGTGTTGCTTGGGCTTGCCTGGTTGCTCTTCCCAGCTAAAGGGGACAGAAGCTGCTATTGAACTGTGAATGGGTGATGATATAGAGTGGCTGTGACTGTTGGGTTTTATCGGCAGTACCGGTAGTTTCATTGCTGTCAAGTTCTCTTGTTGCTCTACTTCTTTTTCAGCTTCCATGGTTCTATGTGGAAGTTGAATCTCTCTCTCTATGTTCTCTTCTCTTCTCAGAGGTGTGTGGGTGTCTTTTATATATACAAGTGTTTTATACTGTGTCTTCATTAGAGGGTTTTTCTCCCTATTTCTAGTGTTTCGTGTAGATTTGGGAGTCAGTGATCTGTACAGTAAAAGGACAAGAAAAAGAGAATATTTAATTCAAAACTAACTTTGGCATTTTCAAATTTAAAGATAAAGATTATGACAATGTCCTTTTTTTATCACAAAGATGCAAGTTGAAAGCCAACAGAAAAGAAAAAAAGAAAGAAAAAAAAATCGAAAAATTCATGATAAACAACAAATGCCTACAATATTTCAACTTCTATACTTCTCATCTTATCTTATTTTTTTGAATTATACAATAATATCATGGCCCAACAAAAGTGTCCAAACTAATCATGTATTGCCACGTATTGGTCTTATATCCCTGCCGAAATGTTAATTTTTCAGTGATTGGGATTCTAATCCTGATAGCTTCACCCAGTGACGGATCTATTTGAGTTTATAGGGTTTAGGGTTTAGGGTTTAGTTTAAGTGACACCCCTTAAATTCCTATAAATAAAAATTTGTTCACAAAAACAGTGAAAAGTCTATAGCCCTGTTGGGAAAAGTTATCCCTTGACACCTCTATGCCCGAAATCGACCCCTACCAGTGACACCCTTGATTATTTTTGACACCTCTTCAATGCACTCCTGGATCCGCCACTGGCTTCACCGTATTGTGTTTTTGCCTTTAAATTAGTCATCATCAGGCCACAGGTCCTGGTTCATCTTATCTTATTACACAACTGATTTTACATGTCTACTATGTATAGTTTTACTTTATTATGTCGTATTTTAATTGCTTGAAAAGTATTAAATTTAAATCAGTTTACATACAAAAGAGAGTTATTTAGAAACTTGTCTCCGTTCAACAAAAGAAAAATAAGAAGAAGAAAAGTCGCCGGAAAGTGAAAGATATAGGTAAGCTTTAGCAAAAGTCTGGTATGGATGTTTTGGTCAGCCTTTAATTCAAAATCAGGCGTGGCAAGGCAAGGAAACAACATAACATGTTATACCGATAAAGAAAAGTAACAATTTATGAGAACAGATCATGAAAGGAAAGTAACTGAACAAACAGGAGCCAGTTGGACCTTGCTATAGAGCTCGATCACAATATTCATTTCAATGTTCGCTCGCCCCCAGATTGTTCAAAACTAATTTCCCCAAATTCTACTTACAAAAACAAATTAATATTTATTTGTTAGATATTTCTAATCGAGTTTTTTCTTGGGTTCACTTCTTATGGTAAATCTGTAAATTCATCGACCAATAATAATTTCTTACTTCATATTCAATTTTTGAAAGAAAAAAAAAACAAAATAAATAAAAATAAAAATATGACATTCATATTATGTTTTAAAAATAAAAAGATACAAAAAATTAGTATCAATAAAAAAAAGTTTTTTTTTTTAACATTTTAAATATGTCCACACTAAACTCTAAATTCTAAGCACTAAATCGTAAACCGTAAGGAATAAAACATAAATCTTCGAATAAACCATAAATCCTTGGCTAAACTGTAAATCATTGGATAAATCCTAAATTAGAGTTGAGGTTTAGGCTTTTAGGATTCAATGTTTATGATTTAGTGTTTAGTGTTTATGATTTAGGATTTTGGATTTATTCTAGAGTTTAGTGTTTAGGATTTAGAATTTATTATTTTGTTGATTGTGTTAATAATGTTAAAAAAAATTCTTTTTTTTGTCAGATACTACTATTTTTTATCCTTTTATTTTTAAAACATAATATAATTTAACAAATTTTTTTTTTTTTTTTCTTTAAAAGATTGAGGTGGTAAGCTATTGTTGATTGGTATTCATTCTGGAGGGTGAAAAGCTCTTTATATTCATTAGATTTTTGGGTTATTGGTATGTATAAGGTAAATATATTTCTATCAAAACTTTAATATAGAAAATTCTCGGTATAGTAATTTATTAATATTACCAACATTCAACAAAAAAAGGTTTTGAGATATTTAACTTACTAATAAACAGAGGATGTATATTTTGGAATTAGTTAAATGTCAATGTATTTGACTTATCTCTGAAGCAAGTGAATGATGAAGGCAGTGGAAAAGGTTTAAGACAATCCAGTTGAAACGTATTTTTGAAAATTACTTATCAATATCAAAATGAGTAAACCGTTTTGACCTTTTCAAGCAAAAGAAGCGACCAAAATAAAGTTGACTACTGACTAGTGATGGTAAGGATAGGTGTCAAGAGCTCCACCGTCATAATGAAATGATTTGATATCACATAAGTAGTTATGAAGTGGGGTATTTTCAGACTCAATTTGCAATCTCCAAGCTGGCTAGAACTGAGTTAGACATTATTGCACACATCAAGAGGACACTGAACGTAACAAAAGTAACAGGTGACAAATAAACTATGCTCCTTTTTAATTAGCATGGGATAATCTCCACAGGAAATATATATATATCTATATATATTTAAAAAGGCTTAAAAGATAATAATGCAAATATGCATGCATGCATTTTCATCTTGATTGTTTTACCTGCAAATGCATGTAAGTAAGGTAAAAACGAGGCAAAGACGTGTAGTTTTTTGTTCATTTTCAAAAGAAAAGAAACGTTGCTTCAATCAAGACAACATATCTCTAGAATCATAGAATAGTGAAACTACGAACTACTTTAGAATTGTTATACAATAGTAACAAAAAAGAAAGAAGGCCGCACAAAGTCCCAAAAGACAGTTTTGTAACGTTATGGACTCGATTTGAACGAGCACAGACAATAAACAGAGTAATGAAAACGAAGATTCCAAAGAACATTTAAATGTTTTATCCTCAGACCATGAGCCACTTTATATTTGGAACTTTCTTCCGTGTCCAGTCTCGTTATATTCGTCCATCCAATTTATAATTTCAAAAACAGACCTGGAGGGAATAAGACAGATAAAAAAAGAAGAAGAGGAAAGCCATTTGAACTGTGTAGAAAAAAGAAAGGAAAAATAACTTGATGAATCAATAAACACCATTAAGTGTATACTAACACTGATAATTCAAATTAAAGGTCAGCCAACTTTTTTGAGCCGTTTTAGAATAAATTTTGGAAAATTGAATGCATACTTCTAGATGACTTAGCATTTTTACGCAAAAAGATTGCTGAATGCGGAGAACAAGCAACTCACTAATCAATAACAGCTATATTGAACAGCGTTGCTTGCTGACATTAGTGAGTTGCTTGTTCTCCGCATTCAGCAAGCAAACTCACGAAGTAGAAACGTTGTTCAATATAGCTGTTATTGAATAATCGATACAGTCATTATCTTATTTTGTTGTTGACCGTCTCAAACAGCTATATTGAACAGCGTTTCTACTTCCTAAATACCAAAAAGACCAGTGGACATTGGCAAATCAAACACTAATGTCAGCAAGCAAACCCAAAGGTAACAGTACCTCTAGATCATGCAAAATGAAAACGTTGGATTCTAGGTTTTCCAGAGTTAGTTAACCATACTGCCAAGATATTGTAAACGTTTCTGTGTTATTCTATTCACTGTTAACTCATATTTATACAATCGATTCTCCCTAGAAAGTAGGAGATAAACATCACACAAATACTTATCCCATAGTTCTAGCATATATCTTTCCAACAATCTATACTTATCCTAATACTCCCCCTCAAGGTGGTGCGTGTAAGTCTCGAACGCCCATCTTGCCAAGTAGATAGTGAAATTGACCAGTTGGTAATGCCTTTGTCAAAATGTCAGCCAGCTGATCAGTAGTATTGACGTGGTGAGTAACGATCGAACCATCTTGAACCGCATCTCGAACAAAGTGACAATCAGCCTCTATGTGTTTGGTTCGCTCGTGAAAGACTGGGTTTGCCGCTATATGGAGAGCAGCCTTACTATCACAGTACAACGACATGGGAACTCGTTGCTTAACTCCAAACGTAGTGAGAAGTTCTTTCGTCCACTTCAACTCACTAAGTGTCATTGCCATTGCCCTGTACTCCGCTTCTGCTGAGGACCTTGATACAATATGTTGCTTTTTCGTTTTCCAAGACACCAACGAGTCTCCAAGCATAACCACATAGCCTGTAAGAGAACGACGCGTAAGTGGACAAGCTGCCCAGTCTGAATCACAAAATGCAGTGATGTGTAAGTCACTTCTAGCACTCAAAAATAGTCCCTGCCCTGGCGAATCTTTCAAGTACCTCACCAACCTCATAGCCGCGTCCCAATGCTCTTGACGTGGGGTTTGTAGAAACTGTGCCAACGTATGAACTGCATAACTTATCTCCGGTCTGGTCACAGCAAGATACACCAAACGTCCCACCAATCTGCGATAATCAGTTGGTTGTGTAAGATAGTCCCCATTGCTCCTAGCGAGATTATGATTTTTTTCCATAGGTGTTGGAGCAGGTTACAACCAAGGAGACCACACTCTGCAATTATTTCCAAAGCATACTTCTTCTGACACAAATACAACCCTTCTTTTCCTCTTGAGACTTCTATCCCCAGAAAGTAACGCAACACTCCCAAATCTTTCATATGAAAGCATCGACTCAAGTAGTCCTTGGACAAGGTGATAAGAGACGCATTGTTGCCACCAACAATCAGATCATCGACATATACCAACACAAATAGAGACGCTTCACCTCGTGTTAAAGAAAACAAAGAGTAATCTTTGTAATTCTGTTTAAAACCAAATTCAAGAAGTGCAGTAGAGAGCTTCGCAAACTAGCATCTGGGTGATTGTCGAAGACCATAAATAGACTTTTTGAGTCTACAAACTCGTTTATCATCAGGTGTAGAAAAACCAGGGGGCAGCTTCATGTATACTTCTTCTTCGAGATCTACATGTAAGAAGGCATTGTGGACATCCATTTGATAGAGTTCCCATCCTTTAGCAACAGAAACCTCTAGTATAATCCGCATCGTCACCATTTTAACCAC